CTGTCTCTCTCACACACCTGCCCACCAGCTCATGTCTCCATCAATAGCAGTTGTTGCTTCTCTTATTTTCTCTCTAAACGTGCTAGTCTCCTTTAATGCACTTAATTCAAAATCTCCTCTTTGCTGGGCCATGGCGTTCGAGGCAGCAGGGCCAGAGGCACAATCGAAGGAAGCCGCTACAAGCCCAGCAGCACAGTCCATTAATGTGCTACTTGCTCTCCTGAGTCTTCCGTGTTTTCTCATCCTGGCTTTGTTGGCCGAGTTTGGAGCAAGCGCTGAACAGCTGCTGATTTCGCTGCAGCAGCAGTGGGGCACTCTCCAAGGGACGTAAGCCAGCTGCTCTGAAGTACCAAATAGAAAGGTGAGGCAGATGCCAGCAAGCTGGAGTGAGTTCTCAGAGGCTGCAGTGCTTTATAGCCATCACACGCCACAGACAGCACCTGCACAGCCTATCGCAGCACTGTATGAACCCCGTGGAGCAGAGAGTAAGTGCCTCACATGGATGGGACTTCTGCTGCAGGTGCTATAACTTACAAGGAGAAAGACCAGCTTCTGTGGCATGCTTGTCTGCTCTGTGAGATAGCAGCGAGTGAATGCTGGGACAAGGTTTGCAAAGAGCTGTAGTTCAAGTACAAACCCAAATCTCTCTTGGTTTCATCCAGCACAGCTCCTCCTTTCTCAGAATGAATCCAGGATGGCTTGCCTGGGAAACAGGCGGTGACGTTTTATTTTCCCAGCATCTTTTCCCTAGAATCAGTTATCTCCCGTGCTGCTGCTCATTCTGGAGCCGGAGGATGCCTTCTGGTCATCTATTTGTATTAAAAACAAAATAACAAAAGTGACACAGGGATGGTGCGAGGCTGAAATCACTAGCCTTTGTGAAGGGCTGTGAGATCCTTGGTTGAAAAGTGCTATGGAAGCGCAAAATATTGATAGCAGTAGTTTGCAGCACTGTTGTGAAATATATTGTGTTTACCTCTCTGTACGCAGATCGCCCAGCCAACGACCAGGTAGAACGCAGTGGAATGAATGTGGCTTGTTGTGCTGCTATTGCTAAGATCCAGAACTACTGGGGCATTGTACGCTCTACCGAGCATGACCTCTGAGCAGCTGGGAAAGAGTCATTTTCTAGTCTTAGACTATGAGCATATCCATTCTCAATGTACAAAAAACAAACCAACCCACCCAGAATCAATGCTTGTTTATCAGACAATCCATAGTCTGTTATGTTTGGTGATTATCAACATTGAATTTATTTCTCTCTAGCTTTGGAGTTGCCCAACATGAAGGAGTGTTTCATTAAACAGGAATTGATTTTTCATATTGCACTAAGATTCTTTCCCTTTCGCCTTCACATGAAAAAAAGAACCCAGACACCGAAATAATGATTAGAATGGACACCTCCTGAGCTCAGGCAGAAATGTGTCAGTCACATTTGGATCTGTTTATTAACTGACTCAGAGACAGACTGACTAAGGGAGGGACTGGCTGTGGTGATTTGTAACGGGCTGTGGCGCTCTTCAGCTGTAGGTCGCTGGTTCAATTCTTGTCCCTGCTACTAGCCCTTGGCAGTCTTTAGACTGAGAGGACTGTCTGGTGACCCTTGTGAAATGAGTTAGTCGTGTCAGGCTGGCTCCGAGTGGACGTGTCTGCAGCGCACTGGCTGCCACCGTAGCAAATTGGTCTGAGCTGGCAGTATCGTCAGAGAGGCGAGAAACGCAGCATAGCCGAGGCCTTTAAAAGTGACTCGTGATTTGGGGTGCCCAACTGGACACACCCTAAAGAAGCCTGATTGTGCCACAGTGCTGAGTACCCAGCCTCTGAAAATCAGGCCCTTTCATGTGTCTCAAGTGAGGCATCCCCAAACCCCTGGTCGCTTCCGAAAATCTTGGTCAGTGGGAGTTGAACAACCCTCCTGTCCCCGTCGGTGAACATACCTTGTCATCCTGGAGGCATGTGGGCTGCAGATGGAAGCGGCTACAGCCCCCTGCAATGACTTCACCAGTCTAGCCTCCTCATCTTATACTGTCCTTGGATCATTGTCTCTAATCTCTCCCCCGCCCCATTACCCATTTCTAAGAAGGGTTGGAGATAGGTCAGAGCCTGTTCATAGTTATTCAGTTGAATCAACAACTAGTGAATAAATGCAGATGACCATGACTGTAAGAGCTTGTCTACACTGCCTAGCCTTGGGTGGTGAAGCTGTGCCAGCAGAGCCCCCTAGTGGAGATCCTGCATAAGCTGGCAGAGAGAGCTCTTCTGCCAGCATGGCTATACCGTCTCCCCGAATGACTTTAGCTATGCCAACGGAAGCACTCTTCTGTTCGCATAGTTGTGTCTACATGGGTTTGGTTTTGTTGCTGGTACAGATACGTCAGCTAGAGGTTGTAATTCTTCAGTGGAGGTCCTGGCAGTTTCCCTAAGGTAGCCCCCAGGTAAATAGGTATGATGGGAGTTGCCTGACATGCGCATTAGGATGCTAAATAGTTGTAAGGCAGGAGGCGAACTCAGATCTTGTGGTGATTGTGACAGTGGAAGAAAGCCTTGCAAATGGATAATGAGCAGGAAAGCAAACCATCAGCTGAATGAAGGGATAAATATTTACAATACAGAGCCCATTCGGAATTAATTAAGTCACTGCAAATGAATTTTTTAACTGGATCCTTAGAGTTGAGTACAAATGGATAATCTCCTAGTTCCGGAGCCTGTGGGTCCCGAAGATAAGGGATTTACCTGCATTGCCCAAAGTGAAATAGTGTAAGAGTTTGCAATGACTTCTCCCTGGCTATACTGTATGACCACTAGGCTCACAGAGTTGGAATTATATTTGTCCCAGCTGTTGTTCCATTCGGTTAAAATTTTAGTTTGCTTCTCATGTCCCCAGGTATAGTATCCCATTTGTATTTAGCATCGCTTCTCTCCTGCCCTGTACGCTTACGTTACTGTCACACATCACAAGGCATTTCTGTGTGGTAGCTTTCAGCTTGAAGGACTGTCAAGGGGCTGAGACCGGCAAGAATCCTAATAAAATACAGCATGTTTAGAGCAGGCAAACCTATTCCCTGACTTGTTTGTTTTAAATTGGGATGTAATGGCACATGGCTGTAAGGTCCCTTTTCATTCCCCTCACCCTCATGAAAATACACAATATTTTTTTTGTAGGACAGCAGTAGCCAAGGAAACCATAAGATTGCCCGGCTGTCAAAGTAGCAGTGGAGAATTAAACTGTCATTCCGCAAGGAATCCCCACCAGTTCATGAAGAAAATCATATTGTTAATGAATCACTAACCCTAATAATTAAAGGGGCCGTGTGGTTTAGTGAAGAGGGGCACTGGACTGGGAGTCCGGAGACCTGGGTTCAAGTTCTGCCACTAACCTGCTGTGTGGCCATGAGCAAGTCACTTCACTGCGCTCTGCCTCAGTTTCTCCTCCCATTGGTCTTCAGGTAATTTTTTTCAAAAAGGCCTAAGTGACTTAGGTGCTTTTGAAAATGATACTTAGGCTCCTAAGGCATATAGGCATTTATGAAAATGTTACCCATCTCGTCTTTTAGACTTTAAGTTCTTTAGGGCAGTGACTGTCATTAACTTTCCCATTGATTTCCATGGAGCAGCTTGCAGGATTGGGGTATGTGTAAGGTTCTTGGGGCTAGGGTGACCAGATGTGGCATTTTAATCTCTAATAACGTGTGTGCCTGCACGTAGTTATTTATTCAACTCCCACTGAAAGTGAAAAGGGACTAACTTTTCTAACTGCTGCAGAAAAGAAAACCCCATGTCCCTTCCGAACTGGACGAAGGAATAGCTGGAATTCACACAGTCTCGCCAGTTTTACATGGTTCCACCAACGTACTGTAAATTGGTGACTGATCAATTAGTCACTGTCCCCCCTAGGGTCTGGAACCTGCTCTCCCTAGGTAGCTGTCCCTGGCAGCCTCTTCCCTCTATTAGCAACAGGCTGAAAACACATCATCTCTTCTATTCATGAGTGTATACCATACCCATCACGGCAGGATCTTTGTTAGAGGTGAATTTTAATCTTACCCCTGTGTTTATACTGTGCAATGGTTTAATAGTGGATGCAGTTCTTTGACCTGTGTTTATACAAGAGCTCATGCTAGAGGATCGTGATGATCCCTTCTGGCTTGGAAAATCTATGAGTCTATGAATATTAAATGTTTGTTTTTCTTTCTTGCCCTGACTGCTTTAATTGTTTGGGCAGCTCCCTGGGTGCCTTGGTCGGTGTGCTAGTACCCTAGAGATAAAATCACCATTATTATTGGAGGGCAGAACGTGTCAAAACATTTCCAGCAGAATGATTTTCCCTTGGACAGTACTGGTTTGATGAAACTTTTGCGCAAAGTGTCATTGTAGATTAAATTTGACCCCCCAAAATCGAGACATCTTGTTTCAATAAGATCAATGCGTTTCGTTTCAACATCATCATTTCAGAATTTATAGTTTGTTAAATTGATTGTATTCTGATTATTTTTTATTTTGGTTTTGCAGGAAATTTCGGAATTTCCACTTTTGTTCTGCTTTGGGATGAAAGGAAATTTTGAAATGTTCTGCAGAACCAAAATGTTGAGTTTGATCAGCTCTACCGAGGGCTATCTGTGAAACACCGCCCCTTGCGGAGTAGTGTTCATTCTTGTATTTTCCATAGGATGTATCTACTGGGGGGTAGGGAGTGGGGCGGGGGGCCGACACAAATTCACACAAAGTTTCCCGGGTCTGACATTCCACCTAGTGGAGGGCAGAGGTTGGAGAACCAACAATAGAGTATTGTGTATGTCAGTGATTGCCAAGCTATGGTCCATGGACCTCCAGTCATCTACAGAGCCCTTTCTGGTGGTTTGCAGAATAGACTGAGGATTTGGGAACTGAGAGGAGGATGAGTCCTGGAGAGGATCGTGAAGCGATCGGCAGAATGAAAGAGCTGTACAGCCTCTGATATTGATTGTTATTTTCATATCCTTGGTTTCTCTTTTCTATCCCAGAGTCCGCATCTTCCCCAAAGAATCCCACCTGGGCCATGACACGGTCCGCGCCCTCATGTACTATGCCCTGAAGGTCTGGAGTGACATCACCCCGTTGAATTTCCACGAGGTGGCAGGTAACAACGCTGACATACAGATAGACTTCTCCAAAGCGGACCACAATGACGGGTATCCCTTTGACGGGCCTGGCGGAACGGTAGCACACGCTTTCTTCCCCGGAGACCATCATACCGCAGGAGACACTCATTTCGACGATGATGAATATTGGACCTTCCGATCATCAGGTACGTCAGAGTAAGAGAGTTGGAGCAGAACTTATGAACTCCCAGACCCTCCCTTTGTAAATATTTATGTCTCTGTTATGGGCACCCTTTGGGTTTTGGGGTCCTGTGCACATCCCTCGGGGCCCCAGAGACCTCTGTTCACTCCCTTATGTCCCCAAAGGCCAGTAACTTGTTTGACCATCCAGGGGTCCAAGTCAGGTAGGAAACTGTGGTAGTATTCCCATTTCTCCTCATAATCCCTCACTTGCCACACCTACATAACCCAGAGTTCTCATCTGCCACACCCACAATCCCTGTCTCGCCCCATCCTGCTGCTCCCTGCCATGGGGTCTCTGAACTAGTAAGTGATGAGGTTGGTTGGGCTCCCTTTGAGTTCACAGGACTCCTCAACCCTGCTCTGTAGAGGCTTCACTGGCAAAGCTGTGAATTCTCTGGCACCAGGGCTGGCATGCAGAGACTAGCTAAGAGGAAAGCACATGTGTTCTTCCTCCACAGCTGCAATTCAAGCCCTGCTTCCACTAGGGTGACCAGATGTCCCGATTTTATAGGGACAGTCCCGCTATTTGGGGCTTTGTCTTATATAGGCACTTATTACCCCCCACTTGCTGTCTGGTCACCCTAGCTTCCACCCAGTGAGATCTGTAGGGATCTGCTTGCAAAGCCCATCAGCAACACTCCTACACTGTGGAAGAATGAGGAGTAAATAGGAGCCCACTGAAAAATAGCTCTTGCCCACTCACTTCCCCCCTCTACCTTCCAGTCCTGCTCTCCCAGACAGACTTTGCCTTCAGGTTCACGCCTGCTCTTCCCCTCCTGGCCCCACTAAATGACCAGGGACTTGAATCTCCTCTACTTATTGTCGTCAGTGTGCACTTGTGCAAAGTGGGCATAAAATGCTACCAGGTCAGAAGGATGCTTTTCCACCTACTGTGCACAGGTGTCAATGAAGGCACGAAAGGCATGGCAGTGGGGAATGAGATCCTTGATCCCTCACTGACTCTGCAGCTTTGCCACACCCCCGATAGAAGAGTTCAGGCCCCAAGGATTCTGCCCCAATCCCCCCGACTATAGGGCAATCCGCTCCCCACAGCCCCCCACTAGTTGGGGGATGGAGCTGGTGGTGCAGAGCCAGGTTAGGCTGAAGGCTGCTGTTCTCAATGGCCAATAACCAGCTCTCCTTCTCCCAGTAAGAGAAGACAGGGCAACGCCAGCCATGGCTTAGAAACCAATGATACGCTCTTCCCTTAGGAAGTCAGGGCAAAGGACCGCCAGCTCCACCAAATTAAGGCATTTACCTTAAGGCAATAAGAAGTTCCACTTAAAATGCAGTTTCAGCCTTTCAAGCCAGCAGCCCAGTTTCAGTAAGTGGAGAGCCTTCGCAAACAAAGCTGTGCAGGTCCGGGCTGCAGGCCAGGGATCCCACAAGCGCCTTCTTAGTTGGATTTTGACAGAATGTGACTGCTCCAGTCACCAGCTGCTAATTTTCTTGTCATGCCACCTCTCCTGCTGATGTCCCAGTGGTTTCTGCTGCCTGGGCTTAATAATTTCATTTAGACCTAATCTTCCTCCTTGAAATTGACTAATATTTTCTCTCTCTCTCTCTCTCTCTCTCTTTCTTTTTTGGTTTGGTTAATCTGATTTCTCTCTCCCACCTTGCTCCTCTCTGTCCCCACGTTCAAAAACCAGAACCCCCAGGAGAAAGGACCTGGCTACCTTTCAATGCTGCATCTCCTGCAGCTAATGTTACTATGGACAACCTGAGTTTCAAACCTCCTCACACAAGCTGCCCCGTCCTCTTCCCCTTGCACACTTTTATGCACCAAGCCCTTTACTCCAAACAGTTTGTTCACCGGCCTTTTCCTCTTGCCCTGCCCATGCTCAGACTGGGTCATAAAGGCAGCCCTGTGGACACATACACTGACATCCTCCCAATCCACTGGGCCACACTACTTGAGACCCCAGATAAGCTGTGGTGGTGTGGACAGTTACTGTAGAACCCTTTAGTGCTTTTTCGTGAGGGGAACTGGGCAAACAGCTGAGATTTCAAGACAGCTAGTCAGGCAGGACTATCTGCTGCCCGCATTAGCCATAGGGTGCAGAACCTGATTCAGAACAGCCACGTCATGTCTGACACCACTGCTATACAGCTGCTAATAAAGGCAACCTGTGTGGAGCCTGTGACTCTGTGTCTCGTGACAATGAATCTGGGGCCCTCCAGTGTCCCTGTCCCAATACTGAACAAAATCCTTAAATTGGCCTTATCTACGCAGTGGCCCCAGAGCTTCAGGGCCGTGCTACGCTAGGTGCAATGCCGAGGCCAACAGTACAGCGGGTGGGGATATCCAGCTGGCAGTGACACCTGCGCTGGCAGATAGAGTAGTGCTGGCAGATATCCCCATCCGCTCACTGTTGGAATTAAACGCAGGTACTTTGGCCCAATGCTGTAGCGAAAGCACTTCCTGTCTGTAAATGTGTAGACCACTAAGGGCCGTCTGATCAGAGACTGCCTCTTCCAGGGAGCTGCCCACTGATCTCCCATAGACTCTTAGTCTCCGGCTCCAACCATTCGACCTCAGTCCCTCACACTGACACACAAGTGCATGTTGAAGTAGACGCCTGAATGCCCACCACCGCCCAAAGCGTGATGAGCATGCAGCGTTATTTTGATGTTGATGATGACTTTATTTTCAGATGCCCATGGGATGGACCTGTTTGCCGTGGCAGTCCATGAGTTTGGCCACGCCATCGGCTTGACCCACATCTCTGCCTTAGAGTCTATCATGAGACCCTATTACCAGGGACCGGTGGGGGATCCCCTGAAGTATGACCTGCCTTACGAAGACAAAGTCAGAATCTGGCAGCTGTATGGTTAGTTCATGCCCCCATGAGTGGGTTTACGCTTCACTTCATCAGCAATGGCTCGCAGAGACAGCTCTTCTCCGGGATGCACTGTCTGGCTATTGGGGGTGGTGTGCCCTCTAATGCTTCCTTGTCTTTATTCCTAGGAGTCAGGGATTCTGTGTCCCCAACAGCCAAGCCTGAAGTAACCAAAACTGACGACCACCCCGTTCTGCCAGAGCTGCCAGAGAACCGCTCCACTGTGCAGTAAGCAGTATTGCCACCAATGTCCTTGTGAAGAGTCACCTGAAGCATGGGTGTCTTCTCAGACCATGGGGTGGATACTTCCCTTTAGCTGTGGTTGCAGCAGGGAGTTAAAGCCAGAAGAAGTGGGCAGAGGGGTGACTCCAATACATGTCCCCTCCCCGCCCAAATCATGGCTAGTTACCAACCATGGGGTTGGGGATTTTCAGATTGGGAAGGGGAAGGGAACCAAAGGAGCAATTTCTACATACAGGCCTCGCTCTCATGGGGACCCACTAGATTTTTGAGTGTAGAGTCTGAGTCCAGCTCCAGAACAGCCTTGTTTGCTTGCTCGGGGTAGATGTGTGAAGCGCAGAGGCTCCTAGCAAGAACCTTTGAAGAATCGTGTGCGGTGCTTTCCCCAAAAGGTGCTAATTCTTCCAGCCTGGGAACCACTGAGGTCCAGTTCATTCTGGCCACTGGTGTCCTGTTTGCATTCTTTGTCTACCAAGCTCTGTGTAATGTGGGTCCAGAAGAGTTAAAAGTGGCCCAAGGATAAAACCAGTGTGGGTAAGAAGCTTAATGAGATGTTAATTCAGGACTAGAACATAAATAAGGAATTCAGGGTGTGCTGGGGGATTTAGTAGAAAGGGAAAAGTGCTACTTATTAAGGAAAAAGGACAAGATGAATATCATTCTTCCTTGCTATACATAGTATCCAAACCCTCACCTATGCTTGCGTGTGTGTGGTATTTTTATTTAAAGAGCTGGCTAATTGGCAAAGGCCCAGATCCACAAAGGTAATTCGGCCCCTAACATCCATTGATTTAATGTAAGTTACCCTTTTGGATTTGGGCCAAAGCTTATATTTCAGTTTGGATTTTCAGAAAGTGCTGAGCACCCACCATCTGAGAACTGGGGTCCTTTACATTTTCTCAAATTGGGGACCCAAAATCGCTAGTCACTAGTGAAAATCTAGGCTTTATTGTGTGTGTTTCAAACAAGAGGCGAATTTGGTCTACTATGTGTAAAAATATCTTCATGATGTTTTTAATTAAATGAAACAGTTTATTTTATGTATGAAACATTTCTCTTCAATGTTGGCAGCAAACTCACTGGAAAGAGTATGAAATTGACAAGTCTTTCACACTCTTAAGTTGGGGGAAGAGCAGAGCCGTAATCGAAATAGCATCAGGGTGAAAAGTCAATTACACTTTTAAAATTCTTTAATTTTAACGATTGAAGATGTTGCTAGGCACTCAGGTAGAGGTTGTTTTTAAAATATATGGGCCCAGATGCTCAACTGGCGTAAATCAGCATAAATCCATTGACTTCCATGGGGATACGCTGAGTTTATACCAGCTGAGGATCTAACACAGGATTTTCATTTTGACAAGTGTCTCTTGAATAATGAATCGGCAGAGGAGTAGATAAATCTATGAGGCAAGACAGCTCTGGGCAGCATATCAGGGGCACGGAAGCCTTCTCTCTGCTGGTAAAATCCACTCAGAATTCATGAATTACGATTATGCAGCTGATGCAACCCAGCATGGCCTCCGGGGCTTAGTTATATTTGGAGGGTCCCTTGGATAACTGAAGTGCTGTCTTTAGAATTCTGCTTTGTTCCTTAGAAGCAGAGTGATCATTGGAAGCACGCAAGGATATTCTTTTTTTCCCCCATGAGGATGAGCAAGGGGCTTTCCTGGGAACGGCCTTTCTATGGAGAGTTTCCTGAATGTTGGTAGGGCTGTCAGGCTGTGGGGATGTGAGGAAAATGCTTCATTTAGGATGTGCCCTGCAATGGGATAATTCCATCCATTTACTCACCCGGGTCAGAATCGTGCAGTGGGCTTTTCCTGATAAAGCCCCCGAAAGGTAGGGTGAAAAGTCTGAAAGCTCAAGGAGGTTCATGCTGGGAGATTTCATCCTCCTCACAGTGTGGGTGGGCTGGGTGCTGTATTGGTCATGTTTAGTTAGATACCCTCTGCAAAGCTGTCATCGTAATGGGCTCGCAGATTCCTTCCCTCTTGGCATTTAAAGCAAATCCCATGTAATGTTTTGTGTGCGTGCGTGCGTGCCATCCTCTAGTGATTGAACCACAGAAAGGATAAGGGACCTACTACTACTAGCAAAGGGAGTTTTCCTTCAGGTCAAGTGGTAGAGGTCTATGTTTTTGGAGCTGAAGGACAAGGGTTCTAATCCCAACTCCTCTGGGGCAGGTGTTTTGTTTAGCTCGTAACGGTGTTGTCAGAAACCCAAAGATTTGTTACGCTTCTAGTGGCACAATTGTATCAGTTATGTTTGTTGCTGTGATGCTTTGAAAGAAGGGAGCTGGCTCTTCCCCTTGGCCACACAGCACTGTATCACTAACGTGAAGTCTGTTTTATGGAGTCGAAGGGTGCTCAGATACCATGGTGAAGTCTTGATTGGGCTCAGACATGTGGCTGGTGTATTACATAGGGAGAAGTTGAGAAGGATGGTGCCGGCAGTCCGATATGAAGTTCTTCTAAAGGCAAATTAGATTCATGTTTCCCTGTCATGAAGAGCAGCTTCTTTGCTCTCTATCAATCATTGTACAAGGGCTTCGTTACTCTTTACATTCTTCATACTCCCCGTGGCCCCACCACACACCTTGTTAAACCAGGATCTCAGCCAGGCTAGTCACTATCTGGGCATTCACCATCCGGCCCCTGACCCCCTTTGTTTGGTTTCTGTTACTGCCTCATGGTGCAGCTGTGACCCCCAGCAGCTCAGCGTCTACGTCCAGAGTTCCTGTGTGCTGAAGTCACTCTTGTCAGCCTGTGTGCTTTTTGTTCAGCAAGTATCTTCAGCAGGGGGCCCAGGTTGGCTCTCAGACGCACCCCAGTGAAGCTGGAGTAATAGCTTTGCCTGCACTGGAGTTCCTCTGGCTTTCCAGAGGTGCTACAGAGAGCAGAATCTAACTCCCCATCTCCTTGGCTCTTGGTGATGATCTCACATAGAAAAGGGGGGGTTGTGTCTGCCATGGATTCGTTTTGATGAGAAAACTGTCTTAAAGCTGCCTTTTGTCCAGAAAAGCTTTGCAGAGCCTCTGCCTTGGAAAATCCCCTGTGCACAAGGCTGGGTTCACAGCAGGGCTGATTTGGGGGTGGGAGCAGGGACCCGCCAAACGTTGGGCCTCTGTGACCTTCTGCATCATTCCTAGTTACAGCCATGTCCCATTGAACCCCTCCATCTCGATGGCCCGGGGCTGCAGATCCCAGTTTCTGTGTGCACTGGGGAATTGTCTTCAGCCAGACGAGCCAGCGCAGTGAGTGGGAGGGGAATTGCTGCTTGCCTGGAGGAGCAGTGCCTGGTCCTGGGGAGCTGGAGAGCCCTGCTCCTGGCTGCGGGGGCGGGGCTGCCGCTCACATGAGTGCTGTCTTTCTGCAGGCTCAGAAGAGATATGCCCAACAGGTGCAACACTCACTTTGACGCTGTGGCTCAGATCAGAGGCGAGGCTTTCTTCTTCAAAGGTAAGCAGCTGCTTTCCGCGTAACGGCTTAGGTGACCTTTGCCAAGCCGAAGCTGCACCTCGCTCGGCGTGACGCAGCTGGGCTCCGTTCATGCAAACCGTTCAGTCTACTCTTCTCTTCAAACCTGGTCTCCAGCAGAGGGACGGCTTTGCCAAGACGTCTGGGGCATGGAGTCAGGGTATTGGTTGCGGCACGAGGTTCACATCCAGTAGTATTGGGTTTGCTCCAGAGCTGCCTGCCAGGGCTTGATTCTCATTCACACTGAGGCCACTTTACACCGTTGGGGCAGCATGAAGGGCTCTTAGAACTTTAAGGCCCTCTATCTACACCCACCTTCGGGCCCCGCTGGAGCAGTATAAAGAGGCCTTGGTGTAAATGAGATCCGTTAGGATCACCATCTGGCTCGAAACTAGTAGGATAGACATGATTTTCAAAAAGGGTGCAGCAGACTTAGAAAAGACCTAGAGATGGGCATTGATGACGATGAAACATGTAGAGACTTCCAGATGGGGGGAGAGTGACTGGCTTTGTCGACACTGCCAATTGAATGACAAAGCTTTTGTCGTTCACGGGTGCTTAAAAAAGCCTCCCTCCCCTACCCAAAAGACAAAGGTTTTGCCACGGCAAGTGGCCGTGTAAACGGCTCGTTGTTGGCAGGAGCGCTCTCCTGTCGACAACGCAAACCCCGCTCAGAGAGGGCGGAAGTATTTTGTCCGCAAAAGTGCTGACAAGCAGCGTTTACACTGCCCGGCCGTGTCGCTAAAAGCTGTGTAGTGTAGACAAAGCCTAAATGAGGCCTGCTTGTTTTAGAGAGGAGGTGAATGAGGGTCGTGGTAGAGGTACACAATACTGAATGGTAAATCAGGCACTTCTGCTTACCCAAGAACGAAGGGGAAATCCGGTGGAATTAAGAGACAATAAATTTAAACTGACACATAATTAAGCTATGGAATTCACTGCTGCTAGAAGCTAAAGAGGCAAAGAATTGAATAGGGCTCTAATGAATGATTAGGAATGTATGTAAACTGTAAGAACATCTGCAGTTACACTAATTGGGTGGTAAGGCCCTCAGGACACCAGCCAATCACTGACTGCCTGGAGCTCAGAAGAAACTTCCATTTCCTCCCCCATTCATCCTGCCCCCAGTCATGTTTTTGCATAACTGCCCATTATGGGGGTTTTACGCTTTGCTCTGAACCAGCTCTCAGTGGCCACTGTTAGAGACAGGATATCATCAATGTCTGCTATGCCACTATTTGAGCTGTTCAACCAGACGCTCCAGGATTTCAAAGTGACAAACTGAAATTGGCATTTGCAGTATCAAAGTACAAATCTGGGTCCATCTGAGGATTGAGAGAACAGCCACAGATCACTTTGACTTATGTCCTGAATGCCTTCAACTTCCCTTTCCGCCCACACTTCACATTCCTGGTTCCACATGCTGTGAATGCACCATCATCCAAAGACGACAACACACGCACAAAATTACCGTACCATCTGGTTCCATGTTTACTGAACAGTTGCTGACAGTGTATCTCCAGGGGGGACAGGCTGTCTTAAGAGAATCCTGCCAGTGCCTCCTCAGCTGTACAGAGTCCTTCTCTGCCTGGTTTCCTTGGGGTTTCTTTGCCTTTGAGGTGGAAAGGTCCCCGACTGAGGCCACTGTGATGCATTGTCCAGAACTGACTCAACTGATCTCCTAGGGGAGAAGAAAGGCATCTCCTCACTGAGATGATAAACAGAAACCAGGAGAGTTTACGGCGTCTCCATTGAAACATGTCACTACCAGATGGAAGGAGGGAGGGCATCCAAAGAGGGAATGAACAAAAGCATTTGAAGATGCCTGGGCCGCTGAGGCAGCACAAAGCAGAAGATGATGTTCACACCGCGAGGCACTCTCTCTGCAGATGGCTTTTTCTTTCTCACGCCTGCCCAGAGCTGCTGGCTCCAAAGAGGCTGCAAGGAAGAAAGGGAGTTAGGAGAGGAGAACTAGAACGAAAAACCAAGAGAGAAATTCTCCTCGTGGTTTATTTCTGGCATATATTTGTCACAAGTGTGTGTTTCTTCTGGTGAAGCAAGGGCAGATTTAAAGGGCCAGATCCTTGGCTGGTAGAAATCTGTATAGCTCCATTGGCATCAATTAGCCAGGTCCTCAGCTGGTGTAAATCTCCATAGCTTCAGTGATGTCAATAGGCAGATCTGGGGTAAACTGGCATAACTCTGTTGACTTCAATTTACCTTAGCTCACGATCTGGCTCAAAAGCTATAGATTGGACTGGGGTAATTAATTATCACCTCTTGTTTGGCAGTTCCCAATTCTGAGGCAATAACTTGTCAGAACCGCATACAGAATGCCACCAAACAGTAATGTGAAACCTGAAGTAACTCCACATAGGTGGCAGGGTTCTGTGCAGTTCAAATACAGAGTGCATCGTCAGTTACCCAGAGTTCCTGTGGACTTTCGTGGAATTGCAGAGTTTCAGGACTTCTGAAAATCAGACCACTTTGATTTAGGACCCTCACTTTAGGCAACCCAAGTTTTAAACTTTGGCCCACCTATATAATGTGTACAGAAATGTTGCCAGAGGCATCCAGCGTGCTGAGAGCATTTCACAGCTGGAAGCAAAACCACCAAGCATCAGAAAAAGCAAAATGCCTCCGCCCACATGAATGGGGACTTACCATGATCTCTATGAATTGGGGGGAGGTCAGGAAGGCCCATCTTAACCTTGGTTTTCATGCTTACATTTCAATCTACCTAAATTGCTACATTTCTGCTGCTCCCGACGGCCTCTTGGAAATCAGCTTATTCCTGACTTCGAATTCAGATTGAAAACTGGCTTCTTGCGGCCGCGCACCTGCTGAGTCCATCAATAGGGAAAGAGAGCTGCTAAATAATACAAAGTGGTGGGGGTTCTCCAGTTATGTCAAATTAGCACTGAGCGCTTTTAACTTTAGATACATTCCTATTAACAAAGCAATTATGCCAACTGTATTTCTTCTGAAAATGGTGAAAATCTGGCATTTTCCAGTGCAAGCCTAATTAGAGATGCAAAGAACATCTTTATTTAATTACATGTGTTTCCCTAAGTATACACCAGCCAGACAGTTTGAATACTAGATTTGTAATGATCTTAAAAGAATTTGTAATTACTGCCATTCCTAACAGTTGAATGTATTATTCAGACATAGATTTCAGTCATATAGAGCAAATAGGCAAAATGCAGCAGAAGAATAAGTATGTGAGATAAATCCTTATAATTGTAATAAAAAAAATCCCCACGCTGCAGATGTTTAAGTGTTGGAGTTTTGCCTCCTGCATTATTAGGCTAAGATCCAATTTCCATAAAATTTTGAAAGTTGGTGTCACAATCTGCCAGCTCTGTAGAAATGTCGTTGAATGTCTTGAATACAAATCTGAAGAAACATCTTGGACCTGTTGCTCATTTCCCTGCTCTGCCGAAAGGGATATGCATAAACTCACGACAATAGCTTCTTGGGAATGGGGGTACTAGAGAGGAGACTGAGGGGAGATAGGGTAGGTAATCAGCCTGCTTCCTCCAGCTCAGAACTCACGCTATAGAGATCCCAGGAATGGAATGTGCTGCAAAACCACAGAAATTCAGGTGGAGAGTTCCAAATGTGCCTAAGGGAATTAGATACCCAACTCCCATTGAATGGGATTTGATAACCTAACTGCCTGATACACCTTTGAATATCCCAGCCTTAAGCATGTTTCTCCCGCAGCAAACATTGGTTGTGATGGGAAGGGAAGATCAATGTGATTTCTTGCTGAGCCCCAGTTCCTAGCTGCAGCTTCGCTGAGGTCGCTGGAGCTGTGCCCTTTTACACCAGCAGAGAATTTGTCTCATTGTAACATTTCGGGTGAGAAGGAGGCCACCTTCTCAATACACCTTAGAATGGTGCACAATATACGTCAGTTGTGCATCCTTTTCTGCTCTTCCTTTCTTCCTCTGTATTTTTTCTTTATTCTTCTCACTCTTCCATTCCTACCCCTTTATAAAAGCTACTGGATTTCAGATCACCTCTTCCTAGTACACAATATGGGTTGGTTGCAGAGGGATATGCAAAATATTCCAACACTTGGAGGTCAGAGTCATGGCAGAGCAACATACAGTAGTAGTCACTGTTTGCTAAAGCAATCGGCGGTGTGGGGAGAGGGAAAAGCTCCAGATACTTCTGTCTCTTCAGAAACTATCACTTGTTGGGCTAGTCTGTGGTCTGATCTAGCCTGGTTTTAGCTGCCTTAGTACTCTTTGGTCTCAGGTGCTCAGTTGCTGGGTAGTAATGACACTGGTACTGATGCTGAGGCAGCATATTCAGCCCTGGAGGGAAGGAGAGGAAATATCTCCTGTCTCCCCCCAGGAAGGATGCTCTTAACAGTAAAAGATTCATTTCTCAGACAGAAGGATGGTGACTGTAATGCAGAGTCTGGAAGTGGATTTCTCCTTATGGCTCAGTGTCAGGGATATGGGAGCCATCCAAGGGATGGGGAATAAAAGAAAGCAAATAGTTTCATAGTTCCCACCTTATGTACTTTGTTTTCTACTTTCCCCTGACTCCACCCACAGCTTTTTCCTCCTAGCAAAGGGGTGTTATGGCATGGTTCATTAATGTCCAATCTGTATTCATCTAGGCAAGTACTTCTGGAGACTGACTCGCAATAAACACTTGGTCTCCCTCCAGCCAGCTCAGATCCACCGTTTCTGGCGGGGTCTCCCTCTCAATATGGACAGTGTGGACGCGGTGTACGAGAGAACCAATGACCACAAGATCGTGTTCTTCAAAGGTAAGAGCAAAAACATTGTTAAAGGGACCACACATCTCTTGCTAGTATCTGTGGCTTTAGTATCTAGTAGCTTTCAACTTCCATTAGTCCTGCAGGCAAGGAGGAACTCGGTGTCATTCCATGGAATTTGCCATGCTGGACAACTAAGCCTCAGTGTGGCAGATGAAATGTGAGGGCCCCAAGTGTCTATGCTGAGGTGTTCCACTGAGCTCCTGGGTCGTAAGCTGCCATGAACCCACCATTACAAGGCTAATACATATTAGGCTGCTAATAGAGCCACTCAAAAAGCAACAATTATGTTTGGTAAAAAAAAAAATGAAAAAAATTCACTTTCTCAAACAGGACCAGCTGGAGTAGCAAACTGCTTTTTTTTTTCTTAAACAAGTGCTACAATTCTTAGAATCATAGAATATCAGGGTTGGAAGGGACCTCAGGAGGTCATCTAGTCCAACCCCCTGCTCAAAGCAGGACGAACACCAACTAAATCATCCCAGCCAGGGCTTTCTCAACCCTGACCTTAAAAAACCTCTAAGGAAGGAGATTCCACCACCTCCCTAGGAAACCCATTCCAGTGCTTCACCACCCTCCTAGTGAAAAAGTTTTTTCTAATATCCAACCTAAACCTCCCGCACTGCAACTTGAGACCATTACTCCTTGTTCTGTCATCTGGTACCACTGAGAACAGTCTAGATCCATCCTCTTTGGAACCCCCTTTCAGGTAGTTGAAAGCATCTATCAAATCCCCCCTCATTCTTCTCTTCTGCAGACTAAATAATCCCAGTTCCCTCAGCCTCTCCTCATAAGTCATGTGCTCCAGCCCCCGCATCTTCTTTTTCTTTCCCTTTATACT